GGGCACTGTGAATGCTTCACTGTGAATGGGACACTGTGAATGGGGCACTATGAATGGGGCACTGTGAATGCTTCTCTGTGAATGGGGCACTGTGAATGCTTCACTGTGAATGGGGCACTGTGAATGCTTCACTGTGAATGGGGCACTGTAAATGGAGCACTGTGAATGGGGCACTGTGAATGGGGCACTGTGAATGGGGCACTGTGAATGGGGCACTGTGAATGGGGCACTGTGAATGCTTCACTGTGAATGGGGCACTGTGAATGCTTCACTGTGAATGGGGCACTGTGAATGGGGCACAATGTTTATGATAATGAGGCTTTCTCCGCCATCCCATTAAGAGAGAGAGAGAGAGAGAGAGAGGGGGGGGGGATGAGGAACATGGGAGTAGTTAGACAAGAAGAACTGGAAAATGGAAGGATAGAGGGAGGTAAAGGCGTGGTGGAAGTAGAGAGAGAGAGAGAGAGAGTGAGAGAGAGGGAGAGAGGAAATAGCAGAAAATGAGAAATAGCAGGAAACGAGGTGCTGAGAATAAACAGTTGAGAGGGGGTAAAAAGTTAGAAAAAATAGTGGGAGAGTGAGAAAAGAAAACAGAGGGCGCGGGTAGAACAACAACTGTGGGAAAGGGAAAAGTAGAGTAAATATTTGGGAAAGAGAGGAGAGGAGGAAATCGTGCATAAGCAATAAAGAGAGAGAGAGAGAGAGAGAGAGAGAGAGAGAGAGAGAGAGAGAGAGAGAGAGAGAGAGTGAGAGAGAGAGAATTCGAAATCCACATAGAGGCTATTTACAGTAAACTCTCTTATAAAGTTAGTTTTGCAAGCGCCATTGAAAAAAGTGCATCAGAATTTAAATAGCATCCACGAGTACTATGAAGGCCTTTTTGACGTGATTATTCAACTTTTGGATGTGTTATTTTTTTTTCAATCGCATTTCCCCATCAAAAAAAAAAAAATCACTCCATAAAGGGGCTTTATAAAATAAGTTATTGTATCCACGTCCACGTAGACCCACAACTATCACGTACCAGGTGTAAGACCTTACCCAGGATAGTCACGAAGGCGACTAGCAGGTCAGCCAGGGTGAGATTGAAGCTGAGGATGGTCATCCGACCTCTCTTAGGCCACTTCTGACGGAGGGTAAACATAACCTTGGTGTTACCCAGCAGCGCCACCAGGAACATTACCCCCAGGATCCCCTGACGCAGCTGCTTGTGGTAGCCAGGACCCAACACCTCCGGCCGGACCACCACCTGTGGCAGCAGTGAGCAAATTGAGATTGAGTTAGTGGTAGGGGTGGCCTAATCCAACTAAATATATTTTAGATAAGTTTACAATAATATAATGATAAAGAGACACAATGAAATATATTTTTTTCGTTAGGTTCAGAATGATTTTTGCGAAATTACTGCATACACAAATTTTCGCTTGTCTTATTCGGCACGAGAGCGTTGCTATCTAAGCCAAAATCGCAAGTTTTACTATTAGGCACAACACACACACAGACACACACACACACACACACACACACACACACACACACACACACACACACACACACACACACACACACACACACACACACACGCACAGGTCAACCTCAGGTCACCTCACTAACTGTAGTTAGCATGTTAGGTCTAACTTGCATATTTCTGTCTATGTTCCGTGATAATCTCCTCAAGTTCTCAGAAACTTAGATAATACACGATATAAAAAGTTATCCTCACGCTAAGTTAGACCTGCATGACAAGATTATATAATAATACATCTTACGTAATATGCATAAAGCGTGGAAAAAATAGAGGCCGTACAGCTCCTGGAAACTGGAAGGTAATATTGTTAATCCATTTACAAATCCTCCTTGTTCCTCTGTGGTCCAATTTTCTGTCTTACTTTTAATTCTTTCAACGATAATTCTACCATACACTTTATCAGGTATGCGAAAAGATAATGAGATGACGTATACAATCCATACCCCGGCCGGGATTGAACCCGCGGTCATAGAGTCTCAAAACTCCAGACCGTCGCGTTAGCCACTGGACCAGCTAGCCACAATAAGATTCATCCAACTAGGTATATTTCTACATCATAGGAAGGTTAGCACAGACACCACTGTGACCACAAATGCAAGTTTTTACAGACGAATCTCCAGCTAGCGTGGCCGGGGTATAGTTTGTTTGCAATCGTGTCATTACGATTTCGTGAGTCATGTTGACGGCAGTGAAGGGACTTGAGCTAGAGTTCGTCACGGCCACGCTAGCTGGAGATTCGTCTGTAAAAACTTGCTAACCTTCCTATGGTGTAGAAATATACCTAGTTGGATGAATCTTATTGTGGCTAGCTGGTCTAGTGGCTAACGCGACGGTCTGGAGTTTTGAGACTCTCTGACCGCGGGTTCATTCCCGACGTATACAATATTTTTATCATCAATAATATATCTGGATATCGTCAACCATTTAATTTTTTCAACAAGTTCGCATACATGAAAGGATTTAAAAACCCAAAAGGCTTTAGACGCGTATAAAAAGTTTTGTGTGTGGCTGGATTCATGACAGAAACAATCAGTGTTAATAAATTGCAAATACCTGAAACCACGACTCACTCTCCGTAGGTTCAGACCACGACTCACTCTCCGTAGGTTCAGACCACGACTCACTCTCCGTAGGTTCAGACCACGACTCACTCTCCGTAGGTTCAGACCACGACTCACTCTCCGTAGGTTCAGACCACGACTCACTCTCCGTGGGTTTCAGACCACGACTCACTCTCCGTAGGTTCAGACCACGACTCACTCTCCGTAGGTTCAGACCACGACTCACTCTCCGTAGGTTCAGACCACGACTCACTCTCCGTAGGTTCAGACCACGACTCACTCCCCGTGGGTTTTCAGACCACGACTCACTCTCCGTAGGTTCAGACCACGATTCACTCTCCGTAGGTTCAGACCACGATTCACTCTCCGTAGGTTCAGACCACGACTCACTCTCCGTAGGTTCAGACCACGACTCACTCTCCGTAGGTTCAGACCACGATTCACTCTCCGTAGGTTCAGACCACGACTCACTCTCCGTAGGTTCAAACCACGACTCACTCTCCGTAGGTTCAAACCACGACTCACTCTCCGTAGGTTCAAACCACGACTCACTCTCCGTAGTTCAAACACACTCACTCTCCGTAGGTTCAAACCACGACTCACTCTCCGTAGGTTCAAACCACGACTCACTCTCCGTAGGTTCAAACCACGACTCACTCTCCGTAGGTTCAAACCACGACTCACTCTCCGTAGGTTCAAACCACACCCGTTCCGTGGTTTGTATTATTACGATCTCGTGAGTCAGACGAACGCCTCGTCAGAGCAAAAACTAAATTCACGTGTATACTTTTATATATTCAGTCGACGTCTAAAAGCCTTCGGTAAATATTCTACTGACAAGTTTCGTTGTTTATCCACAGATCTACTGAAAATATATATGGATCGACTGAGTAATACATGTTACAAATATTTTTTTGATCTATACATGTGTATTTTTTTCGCGTTGAATTCATGTACAGAAACCTGCAGAAAATTTTAATGTTCAGGCTGGCCGGAAGGTTCAAAAATTTCGGATATTTTTTTTTTTTTAAGTTTATTCAGCAATGGAGCTACACGTTTGAATGTTGTTGTTGTTGTTGTTGTTGTTGTTTTTGTTGTATGTTATTGTTGTTGTTATTGCTGTTTTTGCTGTTGTTGTTATGGTCCCTACTTCCAAGATTACTTCAGTTAGTTTAGCTGTAACTAATGCGGAATTACGAATTTAACTTCTGACATTTATATTTCTAGAATTACTACTAGTACTAATACTACTGATATTATTACTACTGTTACTACTACAACTACTACTACTACTACTACTACTACTACCACTACCACTATTACTACTACTACTAATACTATTACTACCACCACCACTACTACTACTACTACTACTACTACTACTACTATTGCTGCTACTACTACTTCTACTACTACTACTACTGCTACTACTACTACTACTACTACTACTGATACTACTACTTCTACTACTACTACTACCACTATTACTACTACTACTACTACTACTACTACTTCTACTACTACTACTACTACTACTACCACTACTACTACTACTACTACTACTACTACTACTGCTACTACCACTACTACTACTACTACTACTACTACTACTACTACTACTACTACTACTACTACTACTACTATGTACTATAACCACTGAGATTACTACTGCTCTTTTTACCGCTTATGTTAATAATATTAATTCTCTTAATACTAATACAAATTCCAGCCACCACCATCAATGATTCCATCTACCACAATCACCACCACTCCGCCTACCACCCTGCCACCACCAACAATGATTCCATCTTCCACAATCACCACCACTCCACCTACCAGCCCTGCCACCACCAACAATGATTCCATCTACCACAATCACCACAACTCCTCCTACCAGCCCTGCCACCACCAACAATGATTCCATCTACCACAATCACCACCACTCCACCTACCAGCCCTGCCACCACCAACAATGATTCCATCTACCACAATCACCACCACTCCTCCTACCAGCCCTGCCACCACCAATAATGATTCCATCTTCCACAATCACCACAACTCCTCCTACCAGCCCTGCCACCACCAACAATGATTCCATCTACCACAATCACCACCACTCCACCTACCAGCCCTGCCACCACCAATAATGATTCCATCTACCACAATCACCACCACTCCACCTACCAGCCCTGCCACCACCAACAATGATTCCATCTACCACAATCACCACCACTCCACCTACCAGCCCTGCCACACCAATAATGATTCCATCTACCACAATCCCCACCACTCCACCTACCAGCCCTGCCACCACCAACAATGATTCCATCTACCACAATCACCACCACTCCACCTACCAGCCCTGCCACCACCAACAATGATTCCATCTACCACAATCACCACCACTCCACCTACCAGCCCTGCCACCACCAACAATGATTCCATCTACCACAATCACCACCACTTCACCTACCAGCCCTGCCACCACCAACAATGATTCCATCTACCACAATCACCACTACTCCACCTACCAGCCCTGCCACCACCAACAATGATTCCATCTACCACAATCACCACCACTCCACCTACCAGCCCTGCCACCCCCAACAATGATTCCATCTACCACAAACACCACCACTTCACCTACCAGCCCTGCCACCACCAACAATGATTCCATCTACCACAATCACCACCATCTTACCTACCAGCCCTGCCACCACCAACAATGATTCCATCTACCACAATCACCACCACTCCACCTACCAGCCCTGCCACCACCAACAATGATTCCATCTACCACAATCACCACCACTCCACCTACCAGCCCTGCCACCACCAACAATGATTCCATCTACCACAATCACCACCACTCCACCTACCAGCCCTGCCACCACCAACAATGATTCCATCTACCACAATCACCACCACTCCACCTACCAGCCCTGCCACCACCAACAAGATTCCATCTACCACAATCACCACCACTCCACCTACCAGCCCTTCCACCCCAACAATGATTCCATCTACCACAATCACCACCACTTCACCTACCAGCCCTGCCACCACCAACAATGATTCCATCTACCACAATCACCACCACTCTACCTACCAGCCCTGCCACCACCAACAATGATTCCATCTACCACAATCACCACAACTCCACCTACCAGCCCTGCCACCACCAACAATGATTCCATCTACCACAATCACCACCACTCTACCTACCAGCCCTGCCACCACCAACAATGATTCCATCTACCACAATCACCACCACTCCACCTACCAGCCCTGCCACCACCAACAATGATTCCATCTACCACAATCACCACCACTCCACCTACCAGCCCTGCCACCACCAACAATGATTCCATCTCCCACAATCACCACCACTCTACCTACCAGCCCTGCCACCACCAACAATGATTCCATCTACCACAATCACCACCACTCCACCTACCAGCCCTGCCACCACCAACAATGATTCCATCTACCACAATCACCACCACTCCACCTACCAGCCCTGCCACCCCCAACAATGATTCCATCTACCACAATCACCACCACTTCACCTACCAGCCCTGCCACCAACAATGATTCCATCTACCACAATCACCACACTCCACCTACCAGCCCTGCCACCACCAACAATGATTCCATCTA